TAGTTGGCTAACTAACTAAATTATTATTCCAGAGAAAGTAAGTTTATAAAAGTTACTTCATGAAGTAAGGGGCATATAGGTCTAACCACTCAAAAGAATTTGGATTTCTTCTCTAAACTAGTACTTGAAAATGCAAATGTTTACAAGGATCTTGTAGGAAATGTGAATAAGCAAAGTAGGCCAGGTGTAAAAATGGCAACAAAGTCAGGTACCGAATGAGATGTGTCAACACATAGATGGTTAATAAATGATCTTGGCCCTAAGGCTGCACGTATAAATAAGCACATATAATATGTGTGTAATGTGAGGATTGCCTCCATTCATGTACTGAACAAAATGGGATCACAGAAAAGGGACTTAATTGAAGGAAGCAGGAAGACATTACTGATGAGATTTTGTCTGAAATGAACATGAGGGATGAGCAGGAGCTCATTTCTGTATTCCAGTCAGGTGGGTCTCCTCACTGCCCCACAACATCCCACACTCTGCTATGTCTTCTCTCAAGCCTTTCACTGTGTTTGGTGGGCCCTGCCTTTCTCCTTGACTGATTTAATTTTTACTGACCCTTAAGGACCCCATGCAGACCTCCCTCCTTCCTCCCACACAAAATCTTCAAAGATGTCCCACATATCAAATGCTAATTGAGAACACACCAGAGGCTAAACATATTAGAAAGTTGAATGACCCACAGGACACAACAGAGTGAAGTGCTCAGGGAAGGGTGTCATTCTGTGCGCAGTGAGAAATTTAGGAGTTTGAGAGACAAGGATTGACTGGCTCTGTGATTTCAGGAAGATCACCAGCCTCTGTTTTCCTCAGTATTCTTACCGATAAAATGGAGGCTTTTCCTCGTGATCATTATGCTTCTTTTCAGTTCTAAGATTATGACTCTAATTTTGAGAAAGAATTGATCTTTTTGTTCTGCTTTCAGTAGTATTTCCACACTTGCTTTTCTTATGTTACATGGTGAGTGGAAAAATCACTAATCAGTGGCATTAAAGAACGGCAGCTCTGTGTCATTATAAATATCATATAATTCCTACCCTGACAGGAAACTGCACAGGTCGCAGGTTCACTGAGATGAAGTCAGCTGTCACGTTTCCCTGTTACAACTGTGGTCACCTCCCATTACTTTAAGAATAGGTCACTTACAGTTCTCTGGACTCACAGTGTCATCGAAGTGAGAAAACACTATGACAGGAGGAGTACGGAGACCGAAGATTAAAGGAAAACTGCCTGTGGAGAACAACATACCTGAATTAGGGAATCTGTGAAATTAAGTCAAAATTCAGGCAGTCCCCAGATTATGACTGAACCTGACTTAACAATGTTCAGGTTTCCCATCAGGATACTTTATAATTAGATAATTACATTAATAATTCAGGGACTAGTTTCTTCCACACACGTAAGCAAACCCACAGGGTATACGCACTTCACTGAGGCAGCAATTGTATGCTGGTGGCTAGTCTCATAGATAGAGAAGCAGCTGACAGAAACACAGGAAAATGAAAAACCAGAAGATCCAGAACCGAGAACGTTTACAAAAGAAGTAGCCGGAGCCTTTCATCTCACTGAAGCAGGATTTACTAAGCTTGAGGAGCAAGATATTAACACTAAGAGGTTTACAAAAGTTTGCCATGCACTTAGTGGGAACATGAGCTGCTATAAGAGCATTTATGATGAAAAAAGGAGAAAGGCTATGCAAAAAACCGCCAATACCTGTTTTTGAGAAACAGAGCTTAGTGGCAAGCTCCCCTCTAGGAACAGAATCAAATCCTGATCCCCGGCACCATCTCCATCATCATCTTCTAATGTTAACCTCTACCTTCTTGCTTCAAAAATGCTCCCTCCAATGAGCAAGGTATTGATGCAACATTAGATGAGTGATAACCTTTAATACTTTTTTGAAAATTCTTCCCATCTTCTGTCTAAACTTTTTGTATGAGTTTGTGTGTTATTTGTTTGAGTTAAAAGAGCACACTAGTTTCTGTAACTTATTATTACAGTAAATGAACATTATTATTACAATATCACATTATATTATTATTACCACACATGAGCCACTAGAGTTACTGTTATTATTATCACAGTATACGTACTGTTCATCAGGGATCTCAGTTACATACAAATTTGACCCAAAGGTGTTCTCAGAAATATAACTCATCCATTATGCAGGGACTGTCTATAATTAATGAAGGAGTTATTTTTACGTTACTTTAGTTATAAATTATTGAAGATTTGTTTTGATGTTAAAAACAGGTAACAGATTATGAAATACCATAAGTTTGTTTTAAGATCTTAGATCATGAATTGCTGACAGCTATTTGCAAAACATAGGAGGCATTTTATCAGCATATACTATTAATTTTCAGCTCACCTCATTCCAACTTGGTGCATTAATTGTACTTTGGTTTTAAGTAAAAGAACAACCTCTGGATAGATTTCATCAAAAAGCTAATCTATTGAAATAACACTAGGCTATCTCATGGTGTCCAAGGAAAAGTCCATCAGGAGAAGGGACCAGATCAATTCCAAGGACCTTAGCAGTGAAACCTCATGGGCCTCCCTATCTTTAGTTACCTTTAGTTTTAGTTTAGCTCCTAGACTCCCAACCCATATCTTTCGACTCACCCCAAATTTTAATTTCTTTTTTTTTTTTTTTGGCCGGGGCCAGGTTTGAACCCGCTACCTCTGGTATATGGGGCAGGCGCCCTATTCCTTGAGCCACAACCGCCACCCCCCAAATTTTAATTTCTAAGAAGTATCTGTTGGACACAACTTTGGTCAAATGTCCTCCATGGGTACAACGTAATCGACTATGACAAAAAACCTTTGTTAGAAGAGTGACCTATTACAAACATGGTCACCAGGGGTCCAGCCCTGTATAAGAGACCAATTTGCAAAAAGGGGAAATGTTTGGACGGAAGAAGCCGCCTCCAGATACACCTGCCCTCTGCACATGCTTTTTCTACTTCGGTTTTTACTTCCTCCCTCCTCCCTTGTCCCATTATCAGTATCTATTTGATTATACCTTGCCCTTCTAGGGGTATGTATTTTGTATAAAATTAAATTAATGAAAGAGAAGAATCTTTTGTTATTCTGCAAGTTAAAATGTAAATAATGTGATTGTAGGTACTTTATAAAGGTACCCAAGAGCTGAACTAAAATATTATATAAAAACTAGCCATAAAATACAGTCTGTGATGGCTTGGCGCCTGTGGCTCAAGCGGCTAAGGTGCCAGCCACATACACCTAAGGTGGCGGGTTTGAATCCCCAGCCCGGGCCTGCCAAACAACAATGATGGCTGCAACTAAAAAATGGCCGGGCACTGTGGCAGGCGCCTGTGGTCCCAGCTACTTGGGAGGCTGAGGCAGGAGACTCGCTTGAGCCCAGGAGTTGGAGGTTGCTGTGAGTGTGATGCCATGGCACTCTACCCAGGGGGATAGCTTGAGGCTCCGTCTCAAAAAAAAAAAAAATATATAGTCTGTGATAATACAATGTGATAATTTCACTTTGACCAACCACAGGATAATTCTTTCTTGATTACTTCATGTCTTGAAAGTAAAACCTAGACATTTTATAAATACCAGATATTCTAAGACATAATGAAAACATATAGTATGTGTGTTATGCTCCCCTCTGTAATCTGTGAAGGAAGTTCTTCTTGCACAATTTTAGGGATCAGTGATTTTCAACCAGTGTGCCATGAGAGGATCTTAGATGTACTGCAAAAAATTTTAAAGATCATTAATTAAATTATTTTCAAAAAAGTTCAAGTATAGCAAGTATATTCTTTTTTTACTCTTTTTGTTTTGATTAACATAATTTAAGTGTGCCTCAGTGTGCCTAGTGAAGTATAAGTTCAAGTGTGCCGTGAGGTAAAAAAAAAAAAAAAAAAAGGCTGGAAAACCCTGACCTAAATCTTTATTCTAACTATAGTATCTATATACCCTTATTTACTGAAAGTTTAATTTTCCTTGGCTTCCTGGAGGCTTTCCTCATACAGGTCTCTTTTGCTACCTATCTGCCTGCCCACAATTGAGGGACATATTCCAAAACTCGTTTTTATCTTTGCTTTTTTTTTTCTCATAGAATTCAAGGGTACAATTGCCACCTCAAGACCAAGACTGCCAAGTCTATCCTGAAAACTTCGTATATTTTAGTCCATTGTTTCTGCAGGATTCTATTTTTCTATTTCCTTCATACTGAAAGAGCAACATGTCTCAAACCAAAACCACAAACCAGATTATCTTTCTATATTTATTTTGAAATTACCACTGTCACTTTTTCCCAGTCTTGGGGTTGCTCTGAAGCCTTAGTAATCATGAAAAGATTATTAAATTGCACAATTGTAATGATGAACAAGGCTATATTCTGGTCTGAATCTTGGAATTTGACTGTCAAAGAAGGGCTTTCCCTATAACTATCAGTCTTTAGATGTGCAAATTTAACAAGCCTAATAATTATTTGAGATTAAAATTGCTCCCCAAATAGTAAAAAAAAATAAAAAAAAAAACACTTAAGAATTTCAGATATTCTCTGCCAATGACAATTTCTGAATTATGTAGGACGAATCGGCTACTGTGGTGTTGAATCTTCCTACTCTTCTAATCGATTGTCATCCTTTAAAGCACTGCTAATTCTGGAAAACAATCTATAACGTATCAGAATCAGACCAAACTACAAGTCCCATGATGAAAAGCAGGAACCCAGAGCAAGGTTCACTGTAGTTCTCCTGGGAATTGTAGTTTTCTTATCACCTGTCAGGTAAACTAGGTATTGTATTTTCCATTTCGCAAAAGCGCTTTTGAAAAATTAAAGACAGCGCAGATAACATTTAGTTCCCAGCCATAGGACTAGAGTTAAGTTCTCTACCAGGCAGCCGGGGCGGGGCGGCACGAGTCCAGTCGGCGTCTCCGGGACCGACGCCCTCCGCCTGACGTCACTTCCGGAAGGGCGTCCCAGGCCCCGCCCTTCCTTCCTCCTCGCGGGGATCCCGGGTTCGGCGGCCGGGCACGGGCGGGAGTAGGTGGTTTCGGGGCGGAGAGTCACATGAAGCGTCTCGGTGCTGTGGCAGGAGGCGAAAAGCTGCAGGTGAGTAGAGTCGGTTTCACCGTCACCGGGAGGCGCTCTCGACGGGATCGCAGAGCGGGCTGAAGCGGGGACAGGGTGGCGAGCGCTGTCCCGGGCTGTCGCGCGGGTGACACCTGCACCCTCCGTGGCTGGCAGGGGGATAGGTCTTCGCGGGTGGGTAGACAGACGCCTCTGAAGTTCCTCCCGTCCCTGGCCAGCTGCGAGCCCCGACCGCCTCCGCCGTGTGTCTGGAAGGCACTGGCCGCGCACCCGGCGGCGGAGGCGGTAAGGTCTCGGGGCCCCCAGGGAGCCCGGGAGCTGTAGACTTCACCGCCCAAAGTGCCAAAGACCGTTGGTCCACGCAGACCCCGACCTTACCTTCCCAGAGTTGCCGCTGGGATTGTCCACTCTCCTTGGCCGCCCACTTCGCTAGCCCACCAGGTTCCTTAGTGTCGGGCCACCTCACCTACTCGAGGTTTTCCAGGGAGAGACTGAGATGATCGTCCTGGGAGCATCTCCACGCAAGGGTAAAAGTTAAGACAGCTCCTAAGGAACACAACACATTTTCTTAACGTTTGAGTAGCTCTCACTTCTGGACGTCAGTGGTCATATTAACATGCGACCGCCCCACAGCCCGGAGGCTTCAGGTAGTGAAGTGGCAAACAGCAGGTTTGGTAATATTGAGATTTCAGACTGACTTGCTTGTTTGGAAGGCCTTCAGGCGGAACCGAGCTGCAGTGAATCAGCAGCTCAAGTTTCTTGAATCTTTGATAGTGGGAAGGTTGCCCAGGGCCACGTGCTGAGTTAAAAAATCTTATTTCAGCATCTTTCCAAGTCCAGATGACTGGTTTCCTGTATTTCTCACCGGGAGAGTTTGGTGGATGAAGTTGAGCAGGCAGGCGTGTTATGTGTAGCCTTGTCATTTTTTTTAGTCTGGTTACTACAATTTTGGGGGTTTAAACCATCTCTTCTTTGTATTATGATATCCTCATACAAGATATACTAGTCCTTTTGGTAACAGAGATTGAATATGAGTTATAAAGATTTGCTAAGGACCCTCTGTTTATTGCATAGCAGAATTGGTGATGAGCTGGAAACTGAAGAGCAGTTTAACTTTTAATTGTTTAATCTTGTTGAATATAAATTTAATGTTCATTAAGTTTTATTGCACTTGATCAAGCTTATTTTTAAAATAAGGATCCTGGGTTCTATAAAATGTTACTTTAGGAGCCTTAGGAAACTGATCGTTCCTATGTAGCATCTAAACTTTGGGTTTACTCTTATTCTGTGTAAGCCTTGAGAGTTTCACTAATTGAATGGAAAGGTAATGAGAATAATTTTCCTCTCTTTCTTTTTCTCCTTTCTCTTCTTCCCTCCTGTACTATATATGGTACTTCTGGATGATAAGCGTGGAGTAAAGCTCCAATTTTCATCATTGTTTTTCCTACCAACTCTTTTATATAGATAAAACCAAGTTAAAATGAAAAGTACAAAAATCCTTCACAGGAGGGTCAAGAAAAAGTGCAAAATGGATTGTTGTCTTTATCACAAATGGAAGTCATAGAGTTAGTGGGGATTAAAGGAAAGGGGTTGAGTGTATTTTTATGTCAAATAAAATAATAGAATTCCATGAAATTAAAAAGAACATTTTGTTTTCTTTTGGATCCAGCTCCAAATTTAAAGACTAATCTTTAATATGTCCTTCTCATTTTTAGATAGTGAATTCCTAAGAAGAAAACAATGGATTGGGTATCAGTTGTTCTCTAAGTATTTGGACTCAACAGCGTGCAGGTTTGTTGCAAAGGCCAAAAGAAGATGGCAACTCCTTATGTCCCAGTTCCTATGCCCATAGGAAACTCTGCTTCCAGTTATACAACCAGCAGAAATCAAAGAAGTTCCTCTTTTGGCAGTATCTCAACAACCTCAGACTCTTCCAAAGGCCAGTTAGAAGACTCAAATATGGGTAATTTTAAACAGACAAGTGTTCCTGATCAAATGGATGGTACTTCATCTGTCTGTAGCAGTCCCCTCATTAGGACTAAATTTACAGGTGCAGATTCTTCCATTGAGTATTCTACTAGACCAAGAGAAACCGAGGAACAAAATCCTGAAAGAGTGAATTGGGAAGATAGGCCATCTACACCTACTATACTGGGGTATGAGGTGATGGAAGAAAGAGCTAAATTTACTGTAAGTATGGACTTCTACTATATAGTAACAGACAGTGAAAGATAAACTAACTTGAGTGCTTAAACCAGTGTCAAATTAATGTGAGCCTGTACTTAGAATGTCTTCAACATAAAAATTCTGATGGTTTTTATCCCACTAAATCCTGTCAGACTGGTAGTAAACTTTGGTTTTTACCTTAATGAATTTTCACAAATCAGACACCTATGTAACTAACTAGCACATAGATCAAGAAACAGAGCATTACTAATATCCTAAAAGCGTCCATCAGTTGAGACCCACTCACACAACACTTTTCTTACAACCTAGATTAATTTTGTCAATTTTAGAACTTTACATAAATGATATTATAGAGTATGTGCTCCTTTGATCTGGCTTCTTTTCTTCAGCATTATGTTTGTAAGATTCATTCTTAATCTTGCATGAATTGTAGGCAGCTCATTTTATCACTATAATAACGCTCCTTTATGTGACTATACAAGAATTTATCCTTTCTTCTCTTAAAAGGCATTTGGATAATTTCCATTTGAGGGTTCTTACAAATAGTACTCCTTTCAACATTTTAGTATTTGTCACGTGTAAACACTTGCTAGGTCATATGTCTAGCTTGAGAAGAAGATACTGAACAGTGTTCCAGAGTGGTTGTCCTTTATTTTCCTAGAAGCATCATATGAGAGTCCATTTGCTCCTTACCTTTCCAACATGTGGTGTTTTAACACTTTTTTCATTTTAGCTATTCTAGTGAGTATAATAAAGTAATATATCACATTGTGGTTTTAATTTAATTTTCTTAAAGACAAATTAATATGAAAAGCTTTTTGGTCATTTGGATGCTCTCCTGTGAAATGTCTGTTGAAGGTTTTTGTTCATTTTTCTTTAAGAAGCCTTCTTCATTTTGATTCGTAGTTTTCTGAGCATTCAGGACAGAAGTCCTTTTCAGCTAATGTGTTGTGTGACTGTCTTTTTGCTCTGTGGTTTGCCTTTTTCCCTCCTTAATAATGCACTTAATAAACAAAAGTTCTTAATTTTAATGTAGTCCAATTTATTTTTTTCTTCTGTGGCTAGGAGTTTTTGAAATCTTTGCCAGCTTCAAGGTTACAAACATTTTGTTCTGTGTTTTCTTCTTAAAGCTTTATTGTTAGGCCTTTCACATTTAAATTTTTAAAGCATCTGAATTGATTTTTGACCATGGTGTGAGGTAAGGATGAAGCCATTGTTTTTTTTCCATATGGGATCTATTATCAGGCTTTTATTTAAAAGAACACTCTTTCTCTGTATTTGCGTTGTTGTCTGTATCTGCTTCTGTGTGTTATTTTTTCATCCTTTGCTAAATTCACACTATCTTAATTAGTCAGTTTTTGTAATAGGTCTCAATAGTAACCTTGTAGTTAAGTACTCCTATTTTGTTGTTCTTCAGGATTGCCTCGGCTACTTTGGGCCATTTGCACTGAGATCTTGTTAAACCTATAGATTAATCTAGGGAGAACTGACATCTTTATAATACTGACTCCTCGAATCTATGAACTTAATCCATTGACATAATTCTTCAATTTCTTCCAGTAGTTTTTTGTTGTTTTCAGTGCAGAGACCTTGCATCTTTTGGTTAGATTCATTTCTGATGTGGATATTCAATACTCTTGTAAGAGATACCTTTTTTTATTTTTTGTTTGTTGCTAATGTATGTACTTTGATCTTGTAGATTTATGTATGTCGACCTATGTGGTTTTATGATGGAGCAACCTTACTAAGTCACTTATTATTCTTAGAGTAAAATTTTTAAGTTTACTGCTGTATTTCATTCTATAAATTTATGATAGCATGGGATGCCCTTGCCAAAAAATTGCTAAGATAATTTATGAAGAAACTTTCTTTAAAACTAAGTTATCATAAGTCTGGTGATATGGGAAATCTGTATGGAACTGTCTTTTTTGAGATCAGTTTTAGATATTAAACTAATGTCTCATTTCCAGATGAAGGAATGAGCATGCATTGAGTTGACACTGTGGTCTGAATGTGTGTTCCCACAAAATTCATTTATTGAAACCTAACCTTAAAGGTGATGGTATTACGGAATGGGGCCTTTGTGAGATGATTAGGACCTAGGGGCAGAATCCTCATGAATAGGACTATTGGTCTTATAATAAATAGTAACTCCAAAGAGCTCCTTTGCCAATATTCTGCATGTGAGGACACAACTATAATATGTCATCTGTAAACCACAAAGCTGACCCTCACTAGACACCAGATCTGCTGACAACTTGATCTTGGACTTGTCAGCCCCTAGAACTGTGAGAAATAAATTTCTATTGTTTATAAGCTACCTGGTTTATGATGTTTTGTTACAGTAGCCCTATCAGACTTAAGACAGGTGATAGATGCAAAAATGCAAGTATGTAGCCAAATTTAAAGTAGTAGTATAAAAATATAAAGTCTTTTGAGACGTTGTAAAGGGAGAAGTAAATGATAGATCTGAAATTTTTCATGTTCAGTAAATCAGCATGTTCTGATTACCCATTATGCATCAGGTACTATTCTGGTTTATAGTGGTACAGCAGTGTGAATTAATTATAGGTAAGTAAATGGTGTGTCACATAGTGATAAATACTATATAAGGATAAAAGAGGGAGGGAGAGAGAGTATCCCTGAAACTGGGGTTGGGATTTAAATAGTGTTGTCAGTCATGGCCTCACAGAAAAGATTTTAGTACTAACAAAGAATGAGCCATGAGGCTATCCGAGGAAAGAACTTTTCACACAGATGGGTCAGTTACAAAGACCCTCGTAGCTGACTGCATACTAAGCAATGTGGAGAGAAGTTGGAATGAGATAACAGATAAGGACAGGGCGTGTGGTACACAGATTATGGTGTGAGGCTATTGTAAGGACTTTGGATTTACTCTGTATAAGATAGGAATCCTTGAAAAGTTGTGGGGGTTGTTGTTGTTTTAGAGACAAGGTCTCATTCTGTCACCCTGCTAAAGTATGGTGGCAAGATCATATCTTGCTGTGGCCTCCAGCTCCTGCACGCAAATGATCTCCTGCCTCAGCAGTCCTGCCACCAATTAGCATGCCACCACACCCAGCTAATTTTTTTAGAGAATTTGTTGTAGAACTAGATTTCACTGTGTTCCCAAGCTGGCCTTGAACTCCTGGGCTCCAACAGTCTTCCTGCTTCAACCTCCCAGAGTAGTGGGATTATGGGTTTGAGCCACTGTTCAGCCTAAAACAGTTTCTGAATGAAGAGTCATGTAATCTGACTTAATGTTTAAAAAGTACATTCTGGGTAATGAGTTAAGACTAGATTGGGAGCACAGAGTAGAAGCAAGAAGCAGATAGTGGACTCTTGGAGTGTCTAATGGAGACATGATGGTGACTGTGAACTAAGGTAGTGGAGGAAGTCCTGAGAAGTAATCAGATTCTAGATCTATTTTGAAAGTAGAGCCAAAAAATATTCCCTAATGATTTTGAAGTAATGTGTGCAAGAAAAAGAAGTCAAAGATGACCTCAAGGTCAAGAAGAATGTGGTCACCATTTAATTGGATGGCAGGTTTTGAGAAGAAAGTCAGGATTTATTTTTGAACATGCTAGATTTGAAGTGTCTATTAGACATTGAACTGGAGGAGTCATGTATGAGAGAGTGTGTGTGTGTGTGTGTGTGTAGTTTAGGGGAGAGATCTGAACTGAAGATACAAACTTGGAAGTCTGAGGTTTGTTCTGGTTTTTTTTTTTCTTAGTATGTGTGACAGAACTTTTATTTCATGCTGTTCCTATCTCTGTATAAGATAGGAATCCTTGAAAAGTTGTGGGTTTTGTTGTTGTTGTTTTAGAGACAAGGTCACCCATGCTAAAGTATGTTAAGATAGGAATCCTTGAAAAGTTGTGGATTGAAAATATCTTAACACAAATCTTTTCATGGAATACCATTCAAAGGATATGTTAATATAAATACTCCCCTACTGAGTTGGGCTGTGAAACCTTTAACTAAAATTCCTAGAACTCTGGATGTCGTCTTCTTTTTCTTTTTCGTTTGGAATTCATTGAGGGTACAAAGGATTAGGTTACACTGGTTTCATTTTTTAGATAAAGTCCCTTTTATAATTGTGTCCTGCTCCCGAGAGGTTTGCCATATACTGTGCCCTCCCCCTTCTACCACCCACCATGTATTAGGTCATCTACTACCTTCATATTAAAATTAAGTACATTGGATTCTTGCTTCTCCACTCTTGTGATGCATTACTAAAGAAGAATGTGTTCTACCTCAATCCAGGTTAATACAAAAGATGTGAAGTCTGAGTTTTTAAAATTATTTTTCCTAAATGTAGTCCTTTGACCTGATCTTATAACTTAGGAGAAAGTAGCTTATAACTTACCAGAAAGCATTAAGACTGTTGATCTGGTGGTATATAAAATATCATATTTTTGAAGTAAGTGTTTAAAAACAAAAAGTGACTAGGTTGGGTGGTGAGTAGGATTGCGGAGGAGGCATGAGATGGGTTTCTTTTTTTGCAGTTTTTGGCTGGGGCTGGGTTTGAACCCGCCACTTCCGGCATTATGGGGCTGGCGCCCTATTCCTTTGAGCCATAGGCAGCGCCTGGGATGGGTTTCTTTTGTTGGTAATATTTTGTTTCTTGTTCATAGTACTAGTTACCTGGGTGTGTTCACATTGTGAAAATTTATCAACTTGTATATTTCTGATTTGTGCACTATTCTGTATATATAATATTCTATAATTAAGAAAATAAGTACTACATAAAAAAAAGTACAAAGTAGTAGATACTAAGTTTCAAGTAAAAAGTAGAAACAGCTGCCATTAGGACATAGAGAAGGGAATGCTCAGTACTGTCCATGAAGTTTTCATTGAAAGCACTACTTAAACAAATTGAAAGGTAGAAAGCGGCTCTCTAGAAAAGATAAAACACGTAGTCTGTACTTATCTTTCCTAGAGAAACAAGGGTGTTCAGGGATCTCTGGAGAATATCTTAGTTAGAAAGGGGAGTTCATTTTCTAAAACAGGAAAATAAAATCAATCTGGATTATTTTTAGGTAAATCTAATTATTATATGAACTGGACTTTTATCAAAATACAGGAGTCGTTAACATTCAGAAGTCAATTTCTCTCTTTTGTTTTAATGAATGACTCCTAAAAAGTGTTTCTTTTGTATTTCCATTGCAGCTTTCTTAGATCAGGACTTTCTGCAGGCTTTAAAGGGAATCCAGTTACCTTGTTTCCCATCCTCATATGTCACAAAGATAGATTACTTGTTTTTTAATTCAAACCTGAAGGATTTATCCATAGGTCTTGTTGATTCTCCCCCTTAAAGAGCTAAAGAGGAGTCTATATAACAATCAAGTGGTAAGGATGAACTACAGTCCCTAAATAGTGAGTTGCCTTTAGAGTAGCACTGCCCAATGTGATCTAAAAAATGTGAATCACATTTATAATCTCAATTTTTCTAGAAGCCAGATCTTAAAAAAAACTAAAAGGAACAGTTGAAGTTATTTTTAATCATATATTTTAATTCAACCTAATATATCCAAATTATTATCATTTCACCTTGGAATCAATATTAAACTCTTCAAAGAGAGGCCATTTATATCTTTTTCACACTAAGTCTTTGAAATCCCGTGTGTCAGAGAACTCCATAATTTGGACTAGTCACATTTTGAGTGTTCACATGTGACGAAAACACAGTTCTGTGCCTGCAGCTGAAAATGTTGCACAGCAAACTTTAAGAAAAGTTAACTCTTTTTAAGAGAATTGTACTCATTCAGGAGATATTTATTGAGTACCTTATATGTACTATGTATATTTTGAATAGTGGCCCAAAATACTGTACCAAAAGGTACTAAATATTTCTTTGAGATTTTTGCCATAAATAACACTTCTTTATGATAAATTCTAAAATTATACTTGTAAACAGAATCTGCTTTTTTCTTAGGTGCTTTTTAAAATATGTTGACTTGCTTCAACCAAGTTTTTCTTTTCAGTAGCTTAGATAAGTGTACATAATTATGGAATTGGAAACTAACTTTGTATAGGATAAAAGTGACCATTTTTAAAAGCTTCTTCAAGCATAATTATTTTGTCAATTTTAGAATATATTGATACAAAACATACTTTGGGAGCTGATGAATTTATTAGTGGTATTCACAGGAAAGTCATTTTGTCTCAAATTTGTTACATTTCCTAAGAAAAAAATACTGGTTTTGTTGCCAGCATTGTTTATTCATACTTTTGGTGATCTATCTGATTTCTGAGGTTTTTTACATAATTTTATAGTTTGGGTTATCAAGTAAAAGTTTTTAAAATATTTGATATTAATTTTTTAATATCTTTATATGTATGTGTGTATATGCATGTATATATGTATATTCCCCCCCCTCCATCTCTCTCTTTCTATCTCTCTGCATAGGTATATAAAATACTAGTAAAGAAAACCCCAGAAGAAAGCTGGGTAGTTTTCAGAAGATACACTGACTTCTCTAGGCTTAATGACAAAGTAAGTACTTTAATAAATCTAAAACTGACATTTCAATATTGAATTATTATGTTTCCTCCACTTTTTCTGTTATATTTATTATATTTGAATTTTCTTCATTAATTATTTGAGTAAGATCAAATTTTTTCCTAAGAAAACTAAATATTTCATTTTAATAGCCTTAAATCTCATACTTACAAATAATTTCATTTTGTGGGAAAATAAAATTATTTTTAGTGTAAAATTATGAAGTTTTAAACTTGTCATCAGAAATATAAATGATTATATATAATCTTGTGAGTATGAAAATGTATATATAATGAGATCCCTTAACTTACAAAATTATATTTGTCTATAAAAGAATAAACATAAGAAAATTTTTAACATTTTTTTTTTTTGCGGCATAACAAATCATCACAAACTTTGTTGCTTAAAATAACACCTGTTTATTATTTAGTGGTTTGAATGAGTTCATTGGAGCTTGCTGCTTAGAATCAAACAAGGTCAAAATCAAGCTGTTGACTAGGCTGGGGCTCTTATCTGAAGGCTCTAGGGAAGAATCAGCTTCCAAGTTCATTCGGTTAATGGCAGAATTTAGTTTCTCAAGCTTGTTAAGTGCAAGGTCTCTTGTTTCCTGGCTGATTGTCAGCTAGAGATCATTCTTATGTCATAGAGACTCCTCTTTGGTCCTTGTACATGGCCCCTTCATCTTCAAAGCCAGCAACAGTGATCTATGTCCTTCCTGTACTTGGAATCTCTTCCACTTATTCTTCTGCCACCAGCCAGAGAAAACACTCTAAAGGGCTCGTGCAGTAAGATAAAGCTTACCCAGATAATCTCCCTCTCTTAGGGACAACTGATTAGTAACTTTAATTACAGCTACAGATTCTCTTTTGCTCAGAGTCTCTTTGTTATAGTAACATAACAAAATCATAGAACCACCACCAGAGGCAAAGGTCACGAGCCATCTTCAATTCTGTCTGCTGCACATACGAAACTGAGAGGATAATAATCTCAATATATGTAAAGCTTTTAAAAATGAGAACAAAAATAAAAAATACATGTTCTATGAACAGGATAATTCACAGAAGAAATACAAATATAAATGTCCAATAAATCTGGAAGACAGTTCACATCACAAGTACTCCAAGAAAATAAAAACTACTTTTCATCTGTCAAATAACAGAATTTTAAATGGTTGGAAATATGATTTTCTAGAGGACGTAAAAGTTTTGCATAATTTGACAGAATAATTACATTTCTAGGATTTATTCTATATAAATAGTCATGAATATGGGAAAGATTTAGTTCTAAGTTTGCTTATCACAGTTTTTTATGTATCATGTTAATTATGTTAATTAAAAATTAGAAGCACCTGAAATTTCTAAAAGTGAGCAGTCAAGCAGTTAGACTATAATAAAGAAGAGCTGAGCTACTTCCAAAGCTAGAGGAAAACTGGATGGGGTGAGGATGGGTAGGAGAATATTTTGAAAACCAAAAAAAGACCATTTTTCCAAAAGAAGCAAGTGGTTTGTGGTGTTTTCGGAGACCACATAAGATGATCTTAGAACATACAGACATTACTCTCTGATTTTGACAGGTATTTATGGAGAAACTCTTATTGGTCCTGTTCTCCCCCATTTACCACTTTCTCTGTCCTCCCTTAGACTACTAGAAACATCTAAAGTTAATATATTCTTACCGTGTTTATTGGAGGGAAACTCATGTAACTTTGCAACTGTCTAGCTACCAGAGGGTTTCTGCCACTTTGAAAACCTCAGTCTAAGTGAAAAAAAAAAAATAGAGAATGCTAAATTGTTTTGTCCTTTTTAAGGTGAGGTTGAGTCACACTGCTCTGTCCTCAACTGATACGTGGGTCCTAAGTGGCATACTGAGATTACCTTTCACTGTCTTTTGGGTGATGTTTTTTTTCATTTCTCTCCTTTATTGGATCTCATTTTCTCTATCCTTTGTCTTCCTCTTTCTTGAAGTACTTAATTGTGGCACAATTCCCTCTTTTCTGTAGATAATATTTTAAGGGAAAAAAATCTATTTATTTGGATATAGACATTTAAATTATAAAGCTTAAAATAAAAAAGACTGTTTATTTCTTCTTTATGACTTGTAGTATTTTATTTTCATTGCAGATACATTAAATAGCAAATCCCCAAGGCCAAAAACACCTACTCACATCTTGAAATCAAATCAGGGTTTTGAGTTATATAAATTACTTTCTAATTTTTGTCTTATTTATTTTATCTTCACAGACTTATAGAAAAATAGAATGTTTTAATTCACATTTTTACTTAATATTTTACCCTGTACATTTTCCCCTTTTGATAGTTTTTCTTGTACCTGCAATATTTAGTTTTATTTTTAAGTGTAGAAATGTAAATATTCATGGACTCATTCATTCATTTGTTGAACATACATTGACTGCTTGACACGTAGTAGGCATGAATGACACTAGACATTAGGGTGCGACTATGACTAAGGCATAATAATTGTAAGATAGCAAAATGATTCACCATCTTCATTACACTTAGAATTCCCCTGGAAAACTCTTTAAAATTAAAATTATAGGCCCAGGCTTCGCCCCAGCTAATTAAATCCTAATTTACCGGAGGTAGCACATATCTTTTAAGTAATATCTTTTAAAAATCTTTTTAAAATAAGCACTATTTACATTGTGGTAAATGTCATTAAAAAAATAAAATCATGATTTGACAATGTGTGAGTGACACATTGTCTTTTCAAAAAAATGACCACAGCAGTATTTGCAGTCCCATGTGCTCTTCCAAAATGTTGCCACTGAAGAGATAGAATTTATTTTTCCACTGTTTGACCCAGATGACCCTGCGACTATTTGGACCCAGCAGAAGATAGTAGAAATGACGCTAGGTTCTCATTCATATATGGGAGCTAAATATTAAAGACAGCTGATCTCATGAAGACAAGGGAGTACAGTGATGATGACCAGAGGCTGGGAAGGATAGCAGGAACAGGGAAATACAGTGGACATGCCTAATGGGTACAGAAATATAGTAAGATAATTCGATAAAATGAACAATAATGGATAGTAAAACAAGTGACTATAATCAACAATAAGTGAGCATATACTTTAAAAACAAGAGTAGACTTGAAATACTCCTAACACAAAGAAATAATAAATACCTGAGTAATGGATATCCCAATTACCCTGATTTGATTATCAAAACATCACATGGACCTATAAACATACACATCTATTATGTACATGTAATAATTAAGAATTAAAATGAAAAATAAAAAGAAAATGATGTTATGTGGCTTTCAAGGCTAGATCACAAGAAGTATACAGTTTCATTCTGGCTTTCTCTCTTTAGATGTTCCCTTTTTAAGCCTATCCTCCATGCTAGAAAAAGTCCAGGACACCTGGAAAGGCTAATGTTAGACTTGTGCCTGACAGCCCCAGCTAAGTCTCACCCAGCAACCAACATCATCACCATACATGTGAGTGAGTGATCTTCAGACAGTTCTAGCTCTTAGCCTTCAGGTCTTCCAGCTGAGGCCTCAATTCAGGGTAGAACAGAGATAAGTCATCCTAATGGTTAAGGCCCACAAAATCCATAAGCTTTAATGTTAATAAATGGTTGTTTTATACCACTGAGTTTTCAAATAATTTGTTATGCAGAATAACTTAAACGGAATGTGTAAACAAACTTAACCTAATTTAGAAGGTTGGGAAAGTTTTCCCTAAGAAAATAAAATATTAGCCAGATGTGCAAAATGGATCATAAACCAAAATATAAAAATTTAAACTATAAACATCTAGGAAAAAACATAGAAGAAAACCTTTGCAGTGTTAGGGTGAGGAAAAATTTCTTACGATCTAAGAAAGCGTAAAGCATAAAAGGAACAATGGATGAATGAGATAACTTAAAACATCTGGTTTAGACTGTTAAACTGAAAAGTCAAAGCACAGCTGGGAGAAAATATTTGTGATACATATATTATCTGACAAAGGACTTGTATCTGGAATGTAGAAAAAACTATTACAACAAACATCATTTTTGTCAACAGAGAAGTGCAAATTACAACCAAAATGAATGGTACTGCACACCCATTGGAATGGCTAACACTGAAAAGATCAACATTGCAAGTATGCGTAAGGATGTAGAAAGAATAGAACTTAATGTATACAAAAGTTGCAGAAATCAAGAAATAAAGCAATCATGGCATCAAAAGCTTAGCAGAATTTAATTCTCTTATTTTAAGCTTACTTCATGAATAACTTTAGTCAACAGGATAGATTTTGTAAAATTGAGATAATTGAGTTAAACATTATATTTGTTCTTTTCTTCTTTTTCAGTTAAAAGAGATGTTCCCAGGCTTTCGATTAGCACTTCCACCAAAACGCTGGTTTAAAGATAATTACAATGCCGACTTTTTAGAAGATAGACAATTAGGATTACAAGCATTTCTTCAAAATTTAATAGCTCACAAGGACATTGCTAACTGGTATGTAGCAAATTGAAATAAGAGATTATGAAAGCATTCTAACAACTGACTTAAACTAAAGAATAAATCTAGGAGGACTCTATATGATTAAGTCCAGAAGAGTAAGAATATAATTATCCTCTCTGATAAAGCATTACATGGGATTTTCTTGCTTTCTTTCAATAAGGACTTTATTTGACATTTTCATTTTATAGTGAAAAAATCAGTATACATGCACTAAAACCACCCAGTGGTAATCTTCATTTTAGTATTTATTGCAAGAGTTTAGACAAAAAGATTTGTAGTAAATGTTTTGCTAATATAACACTATAAATTTTGGCAATAATATTTTTTATATTTCTCTAAAATAATGCAAAACTATAACAGTTGTGAAGTTGGCTCAATTTTTATAGACGGTGAAGTGAAAATACCAAAAACCATTTAAAAAGGAAAAGAATGCTCGGTGCCTGTGGCTCAAGCGGCTAGGGTGCCAGCCACATACACCTAAGGTGGAGGGTTCAAATCCCCAGCCCGGGCCCGCCAAACAACAATGATGGCTGCAACCAAAAAATGGCCAGGCGTTGTGGCGGGCGCCTGTGGTCCCAGCTACTTGGGAGGCGGAGGCAGGAGACTTGCTTGAGCCCAGGAGTTGGAGGTTGCTGTGAGTGTGATGCCATGGCACTCTACCCAGGGGGATAGCTTGAGGCTCCGTCTAAAAAAAAAAAAAAAGGAAAAGAATGGATCTGTAAGCATTTTGCTTCTGAATATATTTACAAGAAAATTGCTTAATGATTTAATAACAACTGAGTATCCAACTTTGGAACTTACATTACCTGGTAAATGAGAACTGCTACGAAAAAAAACAGTTTAGAATGCAACAATAACATATGATAGATACCCCTGGCTATGACTGTCTTTGGCAGTTTTTCACATGAGGAAGAAAATAAATTAAGAAAACCATGCATTTAACTTTGTCTACCCCTTTTTCTCAGGCTTTCTTTATGTATATCACCTTTTTTGTGGCATAACACACACACATACACACGGTATATTATATACTTTCCTTTTTAATGTGTGCTACCTAAGCTTGATGATGTCACAAGATCCCTGCCCATCCCCCTCATTTTTTCTCTTAATGAAAGAATTCCAAACCAGCCCTCTCTACTTCAAATTCATATATGTGGCTGCCTCCTTGACATTTTGGGGGGGTATCTCTGTTACCTCAAACCTAAAACAGACTTGAAAAGTTAGTCACCACAGTCTTCCCCCAGAGTTTTCAGCAGCATCTACCCAGAACCTGACTCATTCTTGACGCATCCCTCCCTGGCTGTTTAAGTACCACTCTGTCTACTTTTCTCCATCCCTGCCATCACCACCCTAGTCTAAGCAGATGTCTCTCTCCTCAGTTACGTCCTCCACTCTTACTTCTGTTACCCATCAGAGCCACAGTGATCTTCTGTGATGCAGTTTGACTAAGTCATTTTTTCTGGTTTCTGCCTACCTGCGGTTTTTCTAACCTCGAGTTTTGCTATCCCCCCCCCCGTTTCCTTGATTGGTCTTCTTGATCAGTCTTCAAGATCATCTTGTTCCCTTGTCTCTCTGGGGCTTCAAATATGCTATTTCCTGAAAAGACAAACTTTTTTTTACACCACTACCACTCCTCCACCCCTAGCCTGGCCTAAGTAACTCATATATCCTTTAGATTTCCATACACACTTCATTTCCATAGGTCACCACTACCAAAGACTAGGTTAGTTCTTTCTTCCAGTGTCTGGACCTGCCCTTCTCAACTGGTTCTTTGAGTCGCTTTAAGACACCCATTGTATGTAATGATTAGCTTCCTTCCTATACTTCCAGGATGATACTAGCTATGTACCAGCCTAAGAGAATTAAGAAAATAATCACCTAAATCATTATCAGTAGAATTTAATTCTTTTAAGAAATCCCATTTGAGAAAGGCTGCTTGTCACTTTTATAACACTTCAAAATGTACTTACTTGTATTTCTTCCACTAGGTTGTAAGGCATGTAACAGCAGTTGGCTCGCAGTAAATACACCTTGAATGAATGACCTAATGTTGACATTTAATGTTATGCTGCTTATTAGAAAAAAAAAAATTGAAGTAAATATGATAGTGATTATGTGGTCTAGGTGGTGAGAGCTTGAGTGCCCCTTTCTGTACTTTTTATATCTCTCAAAATATAAAGAAAAATGATTAGTGTTAATTCAGACACACAAAGCAGGAGTAAAACCAACAAACACTAAAATCCTAGAGAAAGGCTTTGAAGAAAATACATTTTATACCATACCGTAAGGGGAGGCTTTTACCACTAGTGAGTCAACATAGCCTTCCCTTTTCTATTGTCTCTTATTTAGTTTATGTCTCTGTATTGAAAATGTTGTGAATTAAAATCAAATATTCTGTAAATGACTATTCTCTATTTGTAGCTAGTGAAATATTAAATAATATGAACCACATGAACTCATCTTATGATTTATTTTTTAGGTAGTGAAAGTTTATTGTAGTTAAAATATTCAGATGCATTTTTTTTTAATTACTGATAATCTTAGCTGGTAAGATAGGCATTACTAAGACCATTCAATATCTTATCATTTCTAAAACTGCTTAGCTCAGAATAGTGCTAACGGTTTTGCTCAATTCATAAAAAGGCATTTCAGGGAAAGAAAAGTTTCTTGGCCAAATGGGGGGAAAGTTTTCGTTTGTTATCTCTAGAATATTAAAGCTCTAAGAAGTCTTGCATGAAAGAATCTAATGTGCCTCCTCACATTTCTTTGACAACCCACTTTGCACATATCATCAGGCATTTAGAAAATGCAGTAAGATAACTTCAGTTGAATTCAAAATAGGGTACTTATGCCTTGATACCAACTATCTACCTTATGGGTAATGGGTAGCATTTTTTTGTTTCACAGTGTAAGAGGTTTCTTAATATGTTGTTTAAAACATGAATGGGGGAAGAGGAGGAAGGATTATTCATAAGCATTTGCTGTGTACCATGCTAAGAAGGGTATCAGAGAAAAGAAGATGAACTCCTTGGTCTTAAAATTCATTTGGAGAAATTAGGCCTCTGTTTGAACAAAATAAGAACATTTATGAATTGCTACTTGATATGATAACAGATTATGAAAGTAACAGGAACTAAGAGAAGAGGGAGATAATGATGTTTGCAATGATCAAACAATTCTGGAAGTAGGATTTGACAGCCTGGCAGTCTTGATGAAGATGATAGGTAAAAAGAGGAATATGAGTCAGAAATAAATAGAAGATATGTAGAAAGTCTGAGGTTGCCAAGTAGATTGAAGATCAAGCCATTAAAACTGGCGTAGTACTTTCCTGCATTTCTTTTTTTTTTTTTGAGATTTTATCTTCTCACTCCTCAGTACTGTTCCTACTATAAAATAAATAACCTAATTCTCAACGTGTCATGGAATGGATCATTGCAGTGATTCTTTCATCAGTATTATTATTACATTGTGCCACACAGCCAGGATTTTAACTGTCTCTGTGGTCCAAATTCAAATAGTAGGTATGTCATAAAATTCTTTCCTTTTTTACAATGAAGAAGGAAGAGCAGAAATCCATTTTAAGAGAGAAAAAGAGGAAAGACAAATCCCAGCACTTCCTTATGAAAGCATAAAACTGAATTTAAGAATCGCTACATAAAATATCATTTACCTGTTGGGATATGTATTAGCATTCTGCTCCAGCTAGAATGGCAGCATAGAAAAATTGCTATCTTTAGGTGGCCCAATAAGTATTAGAGGTTGTTTATACATATTAATTGTTCTTTCACTTTCCTTCCTTATAGCCATTGCACTTTATACTACACTTATATTTCTAAACTCTAATGTTGGCTAAGAGCTTGCCATTACACAATGAGCTGCTCTTAAGTCTGTTGTAACTTCTCCAACTATAAAAAAGCAGAAAGGAAAGAAATAAAGACCTTAAAGGAACGGTTTTCAATGTTTTAAGAGAATATTATTTCAGATACATTTAGAAAATGCTAAGTAAGGATAATATAAACTAAGTAAGGATATTAAAAACATTAATATTTGCACAGTAAAAAGACTTACTGGAGATTTTATCTGTTCCACATATATTTATTTAGAGCTTATTGTATAAAAGGTGACTACAGAAAGATGGTTTAGATGCTGATCCCGTTTTCAAAAAACTGGAAAAGAAAGATGGACTCCCCCCCCCCAAAAAATCATAACGAATAGAGAGTCTACTTTAGAGGAGGAAAAGAGAGAGAAATTTTTATTGGGAGAATTAGAGGAGGCTCCCCAGAGGGTAATATTTGAGCTAAGATTTTAAAGATTTAAAATACTCTTTGTTGATATTGGACCAACAAAGAGAAGATGAAGGAAAATGTAACAGATGAGAGAGAGTACTATAATCAAAATAATGAAAGCAAGAATGTACAGGTTTTATATTAGGAATAACATGCAACTCAGTTTATCAGGGTGAAGAATATATAAAGATAGTCTTATACCATACAGTCTGTCGTAGTTAAAACGTAGTATTTATTGCTTTATGCTGTCTTGAACCACTTTGAAACCATTACGTCATTAATTAGCACAGCAAATATTTTGCTATTCTGTTTTCACAAGCACTTCATATGCATCCTATTTACCAATTTTTTCCTTTTTATTTTTTTAAAATATAGAGATTAAAATTATATATATATTTTTTCATACTATTATCCACCTATAAGGGCTTCACCAAAGTTAAGGATTTCAAATTGGATGAATCTGGCTTAACAGTTCATGGCTGGAAAAAAATAAAATAAAATTATATCCAATCACTTTTTTGATGAAGCAGTTGAAAGAAATGGGAATATTAAAAAGTAAAAATACTTGAGGGATAACATTAGTCCCTAATAATATCTTCATATATTTGGAAGATTGTGATAGGAGAAGAATTAATCCTATATATTTACCTTTCAGAGTTGTGCTTCTCCAGCTATAGTGTGCTTGGGAATCACCTGGGGGGCTTGTCA